AATTTCGGAGGGTGATCAATTTGTTCTTCGCAATCACATTAATTGGTTAGCGATCGCGGAAGTTTGTTCCTTCCTTCTTCGCGATCGCGTGCATCACGTCGCGTTCGCATAGGCCAGTTCTGGAGCCTTCATTTTTACTCTTCGCGATCGCATGTTCCCTTTCGCGATCGCGATGTACAAAATACCTGGGCAGATTTCTTAAAATCCCAATTCGAGGGTTTAAGCCTATTTTCACATTTTCGAATTTGAGAGCTCGGGAGGGGCGATTTTTGAAGACTTTTGCACCTGGGTAACTTGGTAAGTGATCTTTACCCAACTTAGATCAATTTCCATGATTTCTAACTTAAATTTAGTCTTTAAATTTTGAATATTGGTGGAAAATTTGGGGAAAAAGTTGATAAACTTCATAGGCCGAATTATTGAGTTTTGATTGGGATTTTGACATCTGATTTGAGATATTCTTATATGGTTAGACTCGTGAGTGAATGAGTATCCGGAATATATAATTTTTACCCGATTCCGAGATGTGGGCCCGAGGGGCGTTTTGGTCATTTTACAAAATTCCGCGTATTAGCTTAGAATTGAATCGTAGAATCAGATATTTGAAGTGTTATTTACATTATGAAATTGAATTGAATAGATTTGGGCCATTTGGAGTCGGATACTCATGGCAAAGGCGTGGTTTCGGGTTGACTTGCACTTGTTCGAGGTAAGTGGCTTGTCTAACCTTGTGTGGGAGACCTTTTCCCCTTAGGATTGTTATTGTGGTAACTGAGATGCCTCGTACGTGAGGTGACGAGCGCATACTTGTGCTAATTGTTGGAAACCCGGTTTTTCATTGAAAATAGCCTTGAATTGTGTTCTTCCTTTATCTTTCTTATACTGTTTGGAAAATAAACCTGCTGTTAGCCTAGAGAAGCATGTCTACTTGACTAAGTTGCTTTATTTGCTTTAACTGCCTTATTTGTATTATGTGAATCATGCTAGGTTAGGGCTACCTGCTTCACTTGATATGAAACTGATTGGGTTGAATTCTTGTTGTTGCTGCGTATTTACTTTGGGACTACGGGACGGTATCCCGGGAGCTCCCCTGTATGTTTACTTTGGGACTACGAAATTGCATTCCGGGAGATCCCCCTGCACATTTATGAGTTGCACTATGGGACTGCACCTGGGAGATTTCCACTGGATATGATATTTACATTTGGGGACTACAAGACGGTATCCTGGGAGATCCCCGATTGTTATCTTGGAGTTGAGCTGTATTCTCTTACTGTGTTTTACTTGTCTCTATAATAGTTGTTGCTGTCCTTCATATCTTGTGTTACTTATTTACACTGTTTACTTCATACTGTTAAACCTTATATCTTATTTAACCTCAGTAGGGCCCTGACCTTCCTCGTCACTACCCAACCGATGTTAGGCTTGGCACTTACTGAGTACCGCTGTGGTGTACTCATGCCCTTCCTGCACATGTTTTTCATGTGCAGATCCAGGTACTTCGACTCAGTCCTACCACCCCTGAGGCGAGGCGACTGCTATAGCGACTTCGAGGTATATCTGCCGCGTCCGCAGACCGAGGAGTCTCTTTCTATTCCTGTTGTTTAGTATTAGCCCTTATGTATTTCAGTTCTTGTTAGACATTCTGGAGTTAGAGCTATGTATTACTTCTTAGCTTGTGATTCATGGGTTTCCGGGTCTTGGATTTATGTATTGGTTATTTTTTGAGAATTAAATATGGTGCATGCCGAGCGGCACATTCTACCACTGTTTATTTTCCTTATTTCTGTTTTAAGTTGTTTACTTCCGCAAATTTTGGTTTCTTTTCCGCAATTTAGGCTTACCTAGTTGTAGAGACTAGGTGCCGTCACGATGGTTCACGGAGGGCGAACCGGGGTCGTGACAAATTTGAAGGGAGTAAACAAAGATTAATAAACATGTTGGCCAAGTATTAAACAAGCGAGTGAGATTTAGACATGCTGATTACATACTTGAACAAGAGAGGACATAATTTAGACTTGCTGAATAAAGTAGTAAACAGAAAGATAAAGTAAATACATAGCAAATCGAACTAGTGCAAAACATGGAACACATAGAGCTTGAGTTTCAGAATTGAACTGAAGACATACCAGTTAGAGAAGCAAAGTGCAGAATGTAAAGCAAGTGTAATCCCACTGTCTATCCTTGGCTTTCAGCCGGCTAGACCAACAGTTACCACAAGTAACAGAGAAAGAAGAGTGAGTTTGAGTGTGAGTGTGTGTGTTATTCTGAACTTAGTTCGTGTGTTGAGAGGTACAATAAGAGTGTTTATATAGAAATATAGGAGCGGAACAAACAAGGTAAATGAATCATCATTCAGTCAATTAAGGAAGTCACAGAATCCAATCACATAAAGCAGTTCAGAATAGACTCATTTAATCATGGGTGATTGATCAAACGGTAACAACAAGAGAGTTTAATTAAGGCAAGAATCCCAATCATACCAAATAAAGGATCAGTAAAAATCACAAAATCATACGGACGAGCAGTTAAGGCAAGTGTGACCAATTAAAATTACAAATAAGGAAACAAACAAGATCTGTGCACACAAATTTAACAGGGCAAAAATAATAATCAGTAAGAAACCTCAAAGAATACTAGTTTTACCAAAAGAACCACCCAAATTTCATAAATTAAACTAAGTAAGACCTCACAAAAATATAGAACTTAGCCGGAAAAGCAGGTTTGAACCTTAACAGAGATTAATTAGGGTAAAACCACAAAAATACTGGATTTAACAAGTAAAAAATGGTTAAGTCCAAAAGATAGAGTAAACTAATACGACTTGTATCACAGAAATACCCAAAATCGAAGTAAAGATTGAAGAAATCAGTATATAACATAGAATCAACTAGGGTTTGAACACTCATGCAAAAATCAGTTGCGGTGAAGAAGAAATAATTTACTAAACATTAATAACTTAGAAAAATCTTTGAAAAACAGTTTGGGATGAACCCTAGTTTAGGAAGAGTGATTAAAAAGCGAGATAATCAATTAAGCAAGGGGTTTTTGAAGGAAAATATTTGATAATACCCAAATCATCTCAGATCTATGAAGATCTGAGAAGAGTCGACAACAATGAACTAGGTTTTTTCAGAAAAATAGCAGAGATGAGAGAATAGGTCAAGAGCCCATAGATTTGTAACAAAACAAGGTGGAATCCTTCACTTACAAACGAAAATGGCCTGAGACGGCCGGTAAACAAGTTTCGGACCAGAACCAGTTGGATTTCTTTAAGATCCTTTCAAGGATTTCAGGAAAACGAAGAGCCATGGCGTGTAGGAGACCAGTGATGGTCGGAGGAGACATATGAGCACCGTAGGAGGGGTTTTACACCGGTGACGGCATTTAGGCTTAGGGTTAGGTCGAGAGAGTTTGAGAGAACAAGGAGATGATGACGGCGGGTGATGGAGAGAATGAGAGGGTTNGGTCGTTTAGGATTAATTATGGTAAGGGGGTTTGTGGACCGTTGATCAAAATGATCAACGGCCACGATTAAACGGGCAATTGGGTTGGGCAGGTGTAGCTTTGGGCCTAAGGGGATTTGGGGCTAATTTTAAAAGGGTTTTGGGCTGGTTTGAGGGGTTAGGTCCGGAAAATATTAGGAATCAAATAGGGCTATTTGTTAAATACCCGAATAATTTATTAAAAATATTTTATAAAATAATTAACAGATTATAAAAATAATTTTCATGCACAGAAATATTTTAAAACAATTACTACATATTTAGAAAATACAATGAGCTATTTTCTAGCAAAATAATATGATAATGTGTACATGGGCTATAATTGCAAAGCTATTGCAATTGTAACCAAAAAGTATAAATCTGGCCATTTGTGAAATAATTTGAACTTAATCTAACTATAAATAGCAATATTAAGTCATGAAATGCTATAAAGTCATTTGTGATGCAATTTTGTAATTATTTATATAAATAAAATACTAGGATTAATTAATTTAAAAAATGTAGAATTTATGAAAAAATATCAATCGATGTTAATGTACAGTTTTGAAGGTACGTATGCACTTAAAAAGTATTATAGGGAAAAATTGGGTATCAACATACGGTAAAATATGTTGTGCCAGATGGCCGCTTAAAAAAATGATACATGGAACCTAAGGCAAGGGATAGTTAGAACCGAAGGCAATCATCTCGATCGTTACCGGAAGAAATGACACTCATAAAGAGGCAATAAATACTCTCCGCACGGTAGCATTTAATGGATAATATTCCACAGCATTTAGTATACTGCCCGTTACAAAAGGGTATGGCATTTATGCTTGCCGTTACACACTCTTCAATGGCGCTCATAATTGGCATTGGAGAGGGGCTTGATCTTATGTCCTTATTCCCTTAGATGTAACTATAAATAGCTAGTTCTATTACCATTGTAAGGACACGACTTTTTCTAGCAAACTTATGCTATAATCTATTCCAAGCTTTATACAATTTTACTTTCTTGTTCTTTAGTTTACACATTTCGTTAACTCTTTCATTATTACACGGTCAAATTAATTCACTTATCTAGAAACCACATATAAATTCAACTGCACCGTTTTACGGGTAAACGAATGTATACAGGATAAAACTTCTATCACCTCTGCTAACTAAGCGGACCCTCTAACCAACTGAGCTACGAGAGCTTGTTGCTCTTATTTCATTTCAAAACAACTAATCTCTTGTTTCATGGATTTGCTACAAAATTCAAATATATATAGCTACGAATGGTAAATTTGCTGAAAGTATAGCTACAAATGATAAATACAATGTATATATATTTGACGTATCGCCTAATATTTCCAATAAAACTAGATAAGTTGATAACTACCTCGTTGTATAAAGTTAAACCATACTAGTATTATGTAAAAAAACACACAAGTTATTGTATACGCATTAAATCTTTCATATTTCCACCAGGAAAAAGTGATAATCAATTAATTAACCAAAGCATAAGTGTGTTTAGGCCGGCAAGCCAGCATATCCTATTCCTCTACGCGTAGTAGGGAAGATCAAGAAGAAGAAACTGGCAAAAAACCCAGCTGCTAAGGGCAGGTTCATTACCAAGGCATTTACGTTGGATCCTGGCCTCTGCTGGTTACTAAAGAAACAAGTTTGCACGTCAGAATCACAAAATGCAAAGACCAAGAACACCAACAGAGAAACAAATGCGTGTACGAAATCTAGGCACTTGAGCTTGTATTTCCTCATGTTTATTCCTTCCAATATTTTATTCTCGGGATCATTATTATCGCAGTTAAATAAGTGTATCCCTCTGGTGGTGGCTATACCGTAAAACGACTTCCCATCGGAGCTGAGGACGCAGCTGTCGGTGAAAGAAGAGAAGAAACAGGCGACGGAGCAGAATCCGATGACGGCTGCAGTCAACAACTTGTTGGAGAATTGGCAGACGCCCTTATTGGAAAATGAAGGAATTAGCATTCGAAATGCTAGGACTGTTCCGGTGGGTAGAAGGTTTGCTATGTTGGCTGCAGTGTCTAAGGTTTTGTGTATTGGATGAGCCGTTTCGCCGACGATTTTTGACCTAGCCGCTGGAGGTGGTTGTTGTGGTGGGGATGGCGAAGACGTCGGCACAGGTGGAGGTGGCAACCGTTGTGATAAAGATGGTTCAGCCATTGATATATCTTGTTGTTATGTTTTGTGTGTATATATATGTGTGGTTCTTCTTTGGTTAAAATTGGAAGGTAGCATAGGGCACATTGAACATGTGATAAGAAACGTCAGACTAACGATTCTGTTGCATTTTAAATGGTCCTTTATGAAAGTAGAACGTCATGTTAAAATTCCTTTTGGCATGGACATGGAGGATACAGGTTGCGTCTATTGCTGCCTAGTTTGTTTGTTCGTAGTCTGGTTCTTTTTCTGCATGTTGCGTAACTTGTGCTATATAACCACCTCTCGGGACCTATAACTCAAGACTCATACGACTTGCATTACTTGGGGTAAAAATTCCACGCGTCCTATTTGGTCACACCTATTTAACTTGTACTTATTTTTTTTAAAAGTTCATTAGTACCCAAAGTAGACAAGTTGTATCTTCTTAGTTGCTGTGAAGATAGAGGCGGCGCCATATTTACACGGTGTTTGTGAGCAGGTTTTAAGGTGATTTATAGTGTCTTACAGTGGTGAGCTGCGACAACTCTCCTTTCTTTGCTACTGCTTAGGGTTTCTTTTTCTTCTTTGTTTCAAAATGAGTTTGTTATATTTATTGTTGTTTCAACAAATTGATGATTGTGGTTTGTTATTTATGATATTTGGAACCTATGTGTCAAATTTGAGCTCATTTGGAGCAGATTTGAATGTTGAATCGTGTGTCGCATTGTTGAAATTTGAAGAACAAGTTTTCATTATTGGGCATTTCGGACTTGAGGCAAAAACATCTTTAAGTGCATACAAAAATTAAAATTTTTTGCACTTTAGATGGATGCATTCATCTTAAGAGCTTCTTAACGAAAACGTTTAAAATGCAGCCAATTTTATGCATGTACTTAAGACGTTCTCGTCTTAAGTCCCCAATTGCAGATAAATTTTATAGTTTCAGATGCGGATTGTGCTATCTTAATCGAGTACGTTTGAAGCTGTGTCCGAAATGAGTAAAATTGTGTAAAAAAAAAAAAAAAAAAAAAATAGGAAAAAAAAATATTGAACTTAGGATACGATACTTAAACGGTGGGCCAAAATCTGATACTTGTGTACTTCCCCTATTATTTGTGTGAGCCAAATTGTTCATACTCATAATAGTCATAATATATAATGCTGAACTGAGCAGTTTTGGTTAGATGATTGACAAAAGAACACATGCATGAATTAGGTCCATGGACAGTGTAATCAAGCAAAAAGCATGCACGAGAAAGGGATAAGTATAAGTTGTTATTATTTCAGATAATTCCTGAACGAAAAAATTGCATATTTGATAAGGAACGGGATCCCTTTGACATACGATTGTCGTGTTAAAAATATTGATACTATTATATTTATGCAATTCAACTAATATCTTTGTCAAATTTAGAGATGAAAGGGCGAGTTCATTACTCAGATGATCATTGAACTTTGCAAAATGATGGAACAAAGTCACTTAACTTTAGTTTGTAACAGAAAAATCACTCAACTTTTCCTAATGCACACACATAGTCACTCAACCGGAAATATCAAATTTTCCGGTGGAAAAAGATGACATGGCAGTCTACATGGAATTTTTTATTATTTGACCAAATAACACCCAAACAAAACATTAAAACTCTGTCCATACACCCAACCCGACCCGACCCGACCCGTTGAATAAAACCCACCCACTTAATAAAATAAACACTAAAGACTAATCAAAGCCTCTAACCATTATTTCACGCTACTCTCTTCTTCTCCATGATTTCACTTTAATCCGAAATTGAGCTTTTCAACATGGAATTGGAAGGTGCATCAAGTAGAAAATATAAAAAATCTCAAAGGAAGGGATCCATCTCTTCCCAACAACCATTGTTTAATGTGGATTTGAACCACTATGCCGAGGGTATTGTACAGCACATGGGAGAAAACGATGTACTCTTAATAAATATTTAGGACACTAAAAATGGCTGCTTTTTTCAATATTGAATAGGGAGCCCATGGCTGCTTTTTCTCCTAACAAGAAGAGGAACAATATAGCCCTCAAGTTTCTCAAGGCGATTACACCCCCTCCAAGTAATTTTCATGTTCTTTTGATGAATTTGTTTTAACTTTTAATGTCACTAAATTTGTGCAAAATTACTATAGAAGTTGATGCACCTTCCAATCCATGTTGAAAAGATCAATTTTGGATTAGAAGTGAAACCATGGAAAGAAGAAAGTAGCGCGAAATAATGGTCAGAGGGTTTGATTAGTCTTTGGTGTTTATTTTATTAAGTGGGTGAGTTTTTATTCGGCGGGTTGGGTCGGGTCGGGTGTATGGGCAGAGTTTTAATGTTTTGTTTGGGTGTTACTTGGTCAAATAATAAAAAATTCAATGTAGACTGCCATGTCATCTTTTTCCACCACATAATTTAATATTTCTGATTGAGTGACTATCTGTGTGCATTAGAAAAAGTTGAGTGATTTTCCTGTTACAAACTAAAGTTAAGTGACTTTGTTCCATCATTTTGCAAAGTTCAATGATCATATGAGTAATGAACTCATGAAAGGGCTCATAATTTTGAATCAGACAAAGGGTACATATATGTGTAATTATGATTTATATATATGAATCAAATTTATTAATTTCTATAATTAGTATCTATCTCTATTACAATTAACTACTATTTCTATGCAGGTGTACACCATAAAATTGACACTGGTTTCTCATCCGAAGGAAGACATGCAGATCGAATTCTCTAAAGCTTTTACAAAACTTCGACAACAACTCCTTCACATGTACGCGACCTGTAAAACAAAAAGGAGGCTACAGTTTGTTAAACATAAGGAACAAACTTTAACACGTGAAGCACTTGAACCATAGTTGACGTTGCTCGTATTTACGTATAAAATAAAGTATGTGTTATTGAAGCATAATAGGCTCAGCATTCGTTAGTTTTGAGCTTACATTCTTCCTGTTCAAAATTTATGTAACTCATTGCATGCTTATTCTAAAATATATCTATATTGCTTTAAAATATTTATACTAATTAGCATGGGATACACGTGCATCCAAGAACTAGTTCTCAAAATATATTCTTCACCCACTGCATCAACCTAGGAGTTTATTGAGACAAAGTTTGGTCCTAGTTAATGGCTATACTGTGCTTGATCTAAAGTTGTCCTATTTATTTTCAATAAAGGTGCTTCTTATGTATTTAGAATGATATGTTCTCATGACCCAAATTAGTGGTTATGACTGTCAAATGATGACCTCACGCTGGCAGAGCAAACTCTTAATTCTCAATTAAGGTGACATGACAAATCTCCAATACTTAAGTGCACAATTTGAAAGCGTTAGCGTTTATTCTAAAGTAATATGAAACATAAATCCTCATTAGATAAGCGATTCAAATATAAAATTAGTGCAAATGAGCTTAACAAATGCTAGGAAGTCACATGCAGATTCCTTATCCACAGTCTATGATTAACATGTTAAAATTAGTAAGAACAGCAAGACAGTAATGCCATTTCAATTCTCAATAGAAAGTCTAATTTTGATTATACCCAATAAACTGATTTAAAAACCTTACTATGGATACTTGCTGAATTGAACTAATACCAACATTTCAATCAGCAAGAACAGCAACAGAGTTGGGCCATTTGAATCAAAAGCTTTATATGGACACACTGTTAGGAATTCCTTTGCCAGTTAATCCCATTTCACTTGAGGGATAGAATGAGGTGTAAGGCACCTTAACAGGCCCAGACCTATTTCTCCATTTCGCATCACAATTCATCTGTGTAATCTTTTCCTCAATCTCTCTCAGCCTTTTACCAAACCTTTCAAAAGCTAGTATTGGTTCTTGATCATTTGTCCATTCAGGAGTGTCCCTTTGTCCCAAGTAAACCTCATCTGCAGTATGTCTTGACAACATCTCTATGAGTGAAATCCCAAGTAGTGTTTGCATCTGAGGTGTTATTGTTTTCAGGAATGCTTTCTCAGGATTTGTGTTGAGCTCCTCATATTCAGGAGTTCCAGGCTCAGGCATGAATCTTCGACTTAATGTAGGACGATTTGGGAGGTAGCCAGCAAAAGGATATTGCCCAAAATTGACTGCTGCATGCAGTGCTGAAGCTATCCATATAACAATGGTGCAAGAGTCTATTAGTTCTTGGACTGTCTGCATTTTAGGCCACCAGGGCTCGTCCTTTTTGTCACCGTGTCCCTTTTCACGTAGATCTTTCCACCAGGCTTGGAGTTCTGTATCTCCCTGAATCATGTCGTCTGATTTGTAATAGAAATGACAGTATTCTTCAACCCAACTTTTGATTGCTGCCCAAATTTCCAACCCGTCAACAGCAAATGGGTAGTCTTGAATTAATAAGCGAAGACCATGTGGTGCATTTGAATCCTCAACCGCCATTCCTCTAAAATTGGATGGTATAATCAATAAGACCATGTTAGCAAGGTATCGGAACCATGGCGAGTGCATAAATGAATAATTTATAGGGAACTTTATATTTACCTCTTAATAAGATCAGCTGGAAGAGCTTGATCAAGAAACACCCAATTCTTGTAAATAACAGCTGACATTTCCATGGCAAATTTGGAGGGGAAAACTGTCGTCTCAACAATTCCACAAGCATTAATGAGAGTCTGCCTAGCAAAAGCATTTATGAACATGGTGTCGCGGAAGTGTGGATGCAGAAGCTTGTTAATCGGATGGAGAACACTTAATTGCCTGTTTGTGGCAATCACAAAGGGCTCAACTACTGCATGAGTATTCAACCTGTGATCCAAGTTCAGCACCAATGAAAAATAAAATAGCAAACTAGATCAGGACGGAAGAAATAAAAGCTATCTAGTTATAGATAATACCAATGGGAAATAAGCTGATGATAGCCGGAATCATTTACTGCAACATAAGCTTTCGCTAGTTGCCAAATGATTGCTTCATGGCCATCATTTGCTGGTGTGTACACTTTGCTAACAGCTCCAAGATGATCACCATCCGGATGTGGCAGGCTCAGTTCAATAGCTAGTGGCTTCAATGTTCCATCGTCTTTCAGAAAAAGTAAAGTTCTTGTGGCATAAGTCTTTGTAGTAGTAGTGTTTATGCGTCTCAGGTAAGGCATGAGACTATCATGGTGATTCAATATGAACAATCTGTTCTCCTTGATTGCCTATAAAAGAAGCTATTACTCATCAACCAATCAGGTTTATAGCACGAGCAAGAAGTTAAACGTGTTCTTTCATTTTCCATATGAAAAAGCACCAAAGATTAATAGGGAATACCTGTTCTACAGTCAATCCATCTATATTCTTGTTTATATGTTCCACTTCAATTGTACTCTTCTGGTCGCCAAAATCTTTAGGATCCAGATTACTTGTCGGAGGAAACTCCTGTGTGTACGATAATCCAGCAAAATATTATGATCATAAATTTAAAATGGTATTCAACTGATCACACAGTAAAGATAAAGGCAATCTTGACCTTACTTTTAGAGAACAGATGATAATAGGGTTTAATCCAGCCAACATTTCTCTCGCAAACTCTTCATCAGTTCTCCAAGCAGATTTATCATCTGATGTCCATAAATTCAAGGTAAATAGAACAGCTTAAGCTCAAAATACATCATCATTATAAAATTGAACAGAACATATTGCTTCATTATCGAGCTAAAGTACGCAGTGATTTTGCTTTTTTCTTACCTTTGATTACTTGTGGCATAGGGAACTTACAGAGGTGTTCACCATCTGATCTCAGTAACTCTTTCACCAGTTCCATTGGAACATGATCCCTTATTTTATGAACAAGAGATTCAAAAGGAAAGTTAAATCCATCATCATATATTTTTAATTCATCCTCAAATGTATCAAACTCAGTAAAGTTAGAAGCCTCAAGCTCAGCAAGTAAGAACTGAGATAACAACTTAAGGGCATATGCTGCAAAATCTGACATCTTTAACTGATTGAATCTCTCATCTCTGGGAACATAAATCTCTAAGCTTTTAATCATTGGCAGCCGATTTTCACTTTTAGGATCTGCGGGCACAATATTGTAATGAAAGTCCAACAAAAGAATTTCTAATGTAGCTGCTGAATTGCATAACAATTGGATAAAAGTCTGGTATTTCATTACCTGTTGCAGTAGGCAAACGGCCTGTTCTCCCTCGACGAGGATAAGGGTGGTCAGCTGATCCTCCAAGAATCTTGCGCTCGTACTTTGGACCCTTATCAGGATCACCTAAATCATTATAGACATCATAGTCATATATCCTGTCCCATTCCTCCAGCTTCCCAGTTCCATTTCCTCTCAGGTTTTCCAGCTCTTCTTCACGATATGAACGAAGAGGTTCTGGTGTTTGGCTTGGCAGGTAAGTCTACAGCAAGAAACAAGATCACCATTGCAGAACATGAATAATTTTAAAGATCTCCAACTGTTTGAAAAATCTATCAATTGCACTTGATAACACTTAGTAAGAGGTTTTATGACTAGCTCGTTGAAAATCAAAAAGAACTTGGGAAGCTAATAAATACCTGGTTGGAGAAGAATATACGATCTTTTTTGTAGTACTCAGAAGGGTAAATCCATGAATTGCAAATGAAGCATACTCGGCCATGGCCTGGAACATCATCAAGTGTCAATGTCTTTAGATAGAATTCCTTTTGGTGAAAGTTCTTAATAAGGAAAGCCCCTGGAATTCCAGCCTCTTCCTCCCATTCAAATGTGACTCCAAATGTAGTATCAGTAGCTGTCAAAGGTGTGAATTTGGCTTCCCAATTTTCCAGGAATGCTGGTTTTCCAGGTTTTCCTCTGCACTTGTTAGCTACAAAATAGACAACTAGTTAAACAAATCAGAATGACTAAGAACAAACTGAAAATGAGTTAGCCAATTGATGATTTAAGTTTACTACTCTTAACAAATCTTGAAACTATAACGTACCAGGGTCAGCATTGACAGCACTGATAAGCTGCAATGAGACCTTATGTCCAAGTATCTCATCGACACGGTCGACAACAGATGCCTTGGCATCATCTAAATCCAAGAAATTCTTCTTCATCAAAACAGCAGTGCCCTTAACTTTTTTTGTCTTTTTACTTGGATTGGAAAGCTTACGAGACATATCTGTACAAAAAACAAGGTCCCAAAGTGAGGCTAAGGAGGAGAAAAATAAAGGGAGCCCATATGTCAGTTGACAAGGGACAAATGAATTTAGCAAAAATAAGCATTTGCATGATTCGAGGGTCCATCGGAAACAACCTCTCTACCTTTATAAGGAAGGGGTAAAGTTTGCGTACACACTACCCTCTCCAGACCCCACACTTATGGGAGTAAACTGGTTTTTTTTTTTTTTAGCATTTGCATGATAGTATATTCTGCTCATGTTCTCCTGTTTTATCTGTGGAATCAATCCTACTTCAGTTAAAAGTTCAAAGAAAACATGAGTCAAAGAATTTGTTTAATTTAGCAGACATGCCATGCACAATAGTTAAAGTTTACACATGATCAGAACGACCTACAGTGCAAGTATTATCTCAAAGTTCTTTACACTGCTCGTGCATGGAATAATGAAGAATTTACAAGGGGGAAATATAAAACAAAAATGTGACTAGAAGTGGAGGAAAACTTGTAATGGAACCTCTTAATTACCTTGATTTCCATCAACAAAAGTGAATTGCTCAAAAATCTCATGAGTTTGATGTTCATCCAATTCTGGTAAACCACTGCCCAAAAGAGTATTTTTAATCATTCTGTATAGGAATTTGACAGTGGATGCCATAATTAACACTTTGGTCCTTAACTAAATTTTGAACTTATGAGAAAAAGCTGATTAAGATAGGAACTTTATATTAAATTAATGGGGATATCAACAGACGAATTTTAAGTAGTGTTTATCTCTTTAGGAAGTGTTGGAATTTGTGTTTTTGATAAGTATACCTTGGACTTATATAGGTGCAGCAACTTATAATTATTACTACTATTCTGATAAGGACAACCCTGACTCAAGGAACCAAGTTAACGAAGTCTAATGCTGGGTAATTGTTGCATTAATTGGATAAATTTTTCTTTAGACCAATTGGATAAAGTCGTTGGAAATCATTTATTCCTACAATTTTCTAAAATCATTGGAAATACTTTGTTTTTGACCGTTTACTCTTCCATTTTATCACCAAGAATGGCAGTCACTGACACTCAATTCGATTGCCCCTCATAAGTCATCAAACGGTATACTGCTGACTACTCAAGTAGAGAATTGCATAAATGGCCTATTTTTTACACGTATCAAAACTGTACTCCCTTCGGTCCACAATAAGTGTCCAATTTACTTTTTGATTTTTGTCCAAAATAAGTGTCTAGTCAGGTAATCAAGAAAAAATTCAATTTTTTTTTTTTACAAAATAACCCCTATGTACATATCCCTAAAAAATTTTCTTACTCCTCACATTAAATGTTTAATTAGGGGTAGTTTAGTCATACTAGGTATTTTTGTATAGGATTTAGTATTTTCTTAATGGGCGTGTTAAAAGCAAATTGGACACTTAATGTGTACCGAAGGGAGTATTAAATATTTATTCTCGATATTAGAATTTATTTTGGAAAACATAAAATTAATTCAAATTGGAAACAAACTCTAGTAAATGTTTGCACAAACTCTTAGTTGAGAAAGAACGAAGAGTGTCAATTTAAAAGCCCCTAATATAGGGTATATTTATGATTTGACCCCCCAAAAGCTAGCCATCGAGGTCGAAAAGGCCAAGGCCATAGACACTGTCGAGATTTCGGATGTGAATCGAGCTCTGCATTTTTCTCCAATGGAAGATTCAGAAGCTTCTAGAAGGAGCTCGTAGAGAGAGAAGAAGAGTTACTGAGAATCTGCTAAATTGTGAAAATGAAAACTATATTCAATGTATTGGGACTGTTTAATATATTTGTATATATATATGTGTGGAATTCACTAACTAGATTTCCACTAACTAACTGATTTGTACACTAACACTAACTAACACTACTAACTAATGCTGACTCAGCACAATTACACAATTACAAGAAGATAAATACAAGTATTAGTCTTAATACCCCCCCTCCCCCCCCTCAAGTTGGATGTGAGGAAATCACACCCAACTTGCCAAGAACAGAGCAATGCTTGATCCCAATGAGGGCTTTGGTAAGCACATCTGCAAGTTGCTGGCCAGTACCAATGTGGTGCAAAGAAATGAGTCTTTCCTGAAGTTTGGTACGCACGAAATGGCAATCTACTTCAATGTGCTTAGTCTTTTCATGGAACACAGGGTTCCTAGCAATGTGCAGAGCAGAGAGGCTATCACAGTGTACAGGTATTGGTAAGCAAACTGGCATAGTGAGTTCTTCAAGCAGTCTTGATAGCCAAACAAGTTCACCAACAACTTTTCTAAGAGCTCTCTATTCTGCTTCTGCTAAAGAGAGAGATATGGTTTCTTGTTTCGTGGATTTCCAACTGATGGGGCTGCCACCTAAGAACACAACATAACCATATACTGATCTTCTAGAATCAGGGCAGGCTGCCCAATCAGAGTCACAATAGGCAACTAGTGAGAGATTATCTGCATTGCTGAAATATAGACCCAGAGTAAGATCCTTCTTCAAATACCTCAGCATATGATAGGCCGCCTGTAAGTGGGGCTCCCTAGGATCTTGCAAAAACTGGCTGAAATGTTGGACTCCATATGCTATGTCTAATCTAGTGTTAGTAAGGAAGTTCAATTTCCCAACCAACTTTCTGTAGAAGGTATGATCAGACAATGGAGCCCCCTCTTTTGCCTTCAGCTTTACTATAGGATCAATGGGAGAAGTCAAGGCTGGGTAGTGAAGACACTCATATTCTTTCAACAAGTCCAAAACAAATTTTATTTGTGAAATGACAATGCCATCTAATTTGTAAAGGATTGCTAGTCCTAGGAAGTAATGTAACTGCCCCAAGTCTTTAATTTTGAACTTGTCATATAGGAAGGCCTTGAGCTGGTTGATTTCTTCAAAATCAGTCCCTGTGAGCAACACATCATCTACATACACTGCTACAAAAATAATGGAAGAACCCTGTTTTATGTGAAAAAAGAATAGTCATACATGGAATGTGTGTACCCTTTTGAATACAGGACTTCAGTCAACTTATCATACCATTGTTTGCTTGCCTGTTTCAGTCCATAAAGAGACTTGTTCAACTTGCAAACTAACCCTGGAGAGTGTATTTCAAGACCTGGAGGAGCTTGCATATACACCTCCTCATGCAGATCTCCATGGAGAAATGCATTGTTCACATCCAGTTATGAGATTTGCCATTTTTTCGTTGCTGCTATGGCAATGAGGGACCTGACAGTGGTCATCTTGACTACTGGAGAGAAAGTCTCTGTGTAATCTACACCAGCTTGTTGAGTATACCCCTTAACAACTAGCCTTGCTTTATATCTTTCTACAATGCCATCTGCTCTATGTTTGACTTTATACACCCATCGACACCCAATGGCATATTTTCCTTTAGGTAAAGGGACGAGGTCGCATGAGTTATTAGCATACAAAGCTTCAAACTCCTGTGTCATGGCACTCTGCCAAGAAGGGTACATAGCTGCTTCTTCATATGAATTTGGTTATCTATCATTACAGATGTTCTATACAATGTGCTGATATTAAGATGTAGGGCATCAGAAGTAATATGGTTATTATGGGAAAACATGGCATGTAGGGAGAAGTTAGAGTTAGATTTTAGATTTGGTATATTGCAATCATAATCATTCAGATATGAGGTGAGTTTATGTTCCCTATGAGACCTTCTAAAACCCAGTGGTTCCTCTAGTGATTGTTGAGGTGAAGTCATGTCTTGAAGGTGTTCTACTGGAACTTGTGTCTCGTATGAGGAAGATATAAGTGAGGAGGTAACAGGTGATGCATCAAGATTTGGGAAGTTGGTGTTCTCCTGATCACTGATGCTTTGAGATATACAAGTATCAGTGTGATCAGGTGGATTATCAATGAATGGTGCATTAGGGAATATAGGTGGAATATTATTTACAGTAGTGTTGAAAGTGAAAGGAAAGATTGACTCATAGAAGGAAACATCTCTAGAGATATGTATTTTCTTAGTGGCCAGAATTAGCACCTTGTACCCCTTTGTGCCAAAAGGATATCCTACAAAAATATGTGGAGTAGTTCTTGGTTCAAGTTTGTGTCTGAGAGGCTTTGGTACAGTGGGATACCACAAACACCCAAAACTCCTCAAGTGAGAATAATTGGGCTTCTTTTTATACAAGAGTTCAAAAGGGCATTTGTTCTTTAGAGGAGTGGTTGCAAGTCTATTAATGAGGAAGGTTGCTGTAAGTATACACTCTCCCCAATATTTTAATGGTAACTTGGATTGAAAAAGCAGTGCCATGTCCACCTCAAGGAGATATTTGTATTTTCTTTCCACCACTCCATTTTGTGGTGGTGTGTAAGAGCATGTCTTTTGGTGATTTATTCCCTTTGATTGAAAAAAGGAGGTTGCCTCATTGCTAGTGAACTCTAGACCATTGTCCGACCTTATACATTTAATGGTGGTTTAGAATTGGTTCTCCACCATACTTACAAAAGCCTTTATTACTTGTAAGGCATTACTTTTACAACTCAAGAGATGTGTCCAAGTGGACCTACTATAATCATCTACCAGAGTAAGGAAGTATTTAAAGTTATTATCTGTGCCACATGATAGGAATCCCACAAATCCACATGGAGTATTTCAAAAATTTCAGTAGTATTAGTTGTTCTCTGGGGAAAAGGAAGCCTAGATTGTCTGGCCATAGGGAAAATGTTGCACATAAAAGGTTGTTTGGCAGAAAAGGTTGCATGTATAGTAGGAATCTCTTTCATTTTACTGAAGGGTACATGACCAAGTCTGAAATGCCACAACAGGTCTACATTATTACTAAGAGATGAACTAGAATGCAAACCAGAAACAATGTCTTTATTATTATTGTTGTAGGTGGAATTATTTGTAGTAGGAAATGAATTGTAAGAGTGGGATAGACAATGTATAGTATTTACATCATTAGCATGAACAGAAAAACAAGGAAGATCACAATTTTGTTCAGGTGTAAGACTACCTTCCTTCAGGCACTTAGAACAGAGAAAGTACAACCCATCATACAACTTACCAATCTCCAGAGGCCTCTTCAGTGAATGGGCCTGCAGTAGACAGGAAGTGTCAAAGAATGATGCAACGCATTTGAGATGTACTGCTAGGGAACTGATAGACACTAGATTAAACTTGAAAGATGGAATGAACAAGACTTTGTACAGAACAATTATAGGTGTCAGGGATACATCTCCAATTTCAGTTACTTTAACTTTGTAACCATTTGGAAGTTTAACTAATAGAGGATATGGTAGGCTTACTATGTTTTGAAGGTGAGTTTTGTTAAAAGTCATATGGTGTGATGCCCTGAAATCTAATATCCATAAGTCAGTTTTTGCACTAAAACACTTGCATGATGGATTATCAAAATCAATTGAAGAAGTGCAAGCAATCAAACCTGCAAAGTTCACATATGCTCCACTAGACATGTTTGCACTGGTTGAATTCTCTCCAGTGTTTCCCATCTGAAAATGCTGCAACAAGCTAACAATTTGCCCATACTGCTCCTTTGAAAGGCTCATGCTTTGATTTTCTCCTTGGTGTTCCTTTGATTTGCAGACTGTCGATTCGATGAGACACTTTTTCCAAAATTAGGGGGAGAAGTTGGTGAAACCAAATGGGAAATTTTATAGAAAAATCCATCATTATCTCATCTTGATCCACGTGCCTCTATTTGTGAAAAAGAGGTGTAAAAGATTATCCATTTGCAGAGAATAGCAAATCAAATGCCAGACGCATTTACGGATTTGAAAAGGATAACAAAATCACATATCTCTGCAGAGAATGTTCCAATCCGTATTGATGTCCCTATTGGACAATCTTCTAGTGTCATAGCTAATGAGTCAAAAGCACGCCTAAAATGTGGTAGACCATTAGGTTCCAAAGATCGAAATCCTAGAAAAAGGAAAACAAATGATCAAAATGACACTACGAAAGAATCTCGTGAAGAAATCCACAATTTAATAAATTCTGAGATTCATGAGGAATCCACTGAGCCCGAGGCTCAAGAAAATAAGGAACTATCAATAAATCCAATCGATATTGAGATAAATTTGAATCGAATGGATATAGTGGTGGATTATGTCTTTGCATATAATGTTGCATCTAGCATTATACAAGAAAGTGAGGATCTTGAACCTCAATCTGTTGGAGAATGTCGACAAAGACTTGATTGGCAAAAATGGCAAGAAGCAATCCAATCAGAGTTGAATTCACTTGCAAAACGTGAAGTTTTTGGGCCTGTAGTCCAAACACCTAATGGTGTTACGCCTGTTGGCTATAAATGGGTCTTTGTACGCAAGAGAAATGAGAAACGAGGTACAAAGATATAAGGCACGCCTTGTTGCACAAGGATTTTCACAAAGGCCTGGTGTCGATTATGAAGAGACATATTCACCTGTTATGGATGCTATAACTTTCCGTTATCTCATTAGTTTTGCTGTCCATGAAAATCTTGACATGCATTTAATGGATGTGGTTACCGCCTACCTTTATGGCTCACTTGATAATGAGATATACATGAAAATTCCCGATGGATTTAAAATGCCAAACGCACATAATTCAAAGTCCCGGGAAATGTTTTCAATCAAATTGCAAAGATCTTTGTATGGTCTAAAGCAACTAGGACGAATGTGGTATAATCGTCTTAGTGAGTATTTATTAAAGGAAGGCTATATAAATGATGCCATTTGCCCATGTGTTTTTATAAAGAAAACAACATCGGAATTTGTTGTACTTGCCGTATATGTTGATGACATAAACCTTATTGGAACTCCTATAGAACTCCAAAAGGCAATTGATTATTTAAAGAAGGAATTCGAGATGAAAGATCTCGGAAAGACAAAATTATGTCTTGGTTTGCAAATTGAACATTTGGCAAACGAAATNAGTGAAGGGAAAGACAAGAGGTGAGGCCTTGACGCAATACAAGAGTATAAGCCACAAAGTCATATCCCCATTTCAAGAAATGAGTTGGTGACTCCGACGTGATTACCAGAAGGAAAAGGTAGACCCTAGAGTAATAGAAATAAGTATGGGCTGGTGAACAAGATAAACTAAACATGAATTGGGGATCGAATGGTTTGATAATAGTCGGTATCATGAGAATTTTAGAGATTGCATTCCGGCGTTAATAGAATGGACAACAGAAGAATAACCTTTAAATGTCATTCAGTAAGATGCTTCCCTAGAGCAAGCACTGTGAGCAGAGTTAAGCTTAAGGGAATAAGTATGCCAATTATTCTAGGTGTCACCCTTGTGCATAAGGAATTCAGTTATCCCCAGTACAGAAGGATTACCATAAGGCGAGTAAGGGTCATTGATGATGTGAAAACACGCCAAAGACAAAGAGGTAACTATGGAATGGTAAAGGAAGAATGTGGTAAAAAAAAGGAGAAAGGGATGAGGTTGCCTTTATTCAGATCCTACAGATATGTTGCGACTCCAGAAAATTATGCAAGCACGACACCAGAGAAGGGCAGTAAGAGCTCTCGGCCAGGATGTTATTGATAAATAAGTGAGAATAAACACTTGATACATAAGGAGCCAGTGTGATAGGTAATGTAAGACAAAGTAAATAACCAAAGAGAGATTACACGGAATATATATATGAGAATAGACCAACGAGTAAGTAGTTGATTCAGGAAGAGCCCAGTTATGGCTAGACAAGAGGTCACAGATAAATCAATAGATCATGCAAGATAAATGTAGTGAACCGCAACATAGTGAATTCAGTCTCGCAGATACGAGATTACAATCATTTGACAAAAAAAATTCAGATAGGATTTGAGGCAGTTAAAGGTACCGTTTAAGGTTTATGAAAATAAGAGAGAGTGCCACTAAGGAGACAATAAAAAAATTGAGCATAGAAATAACCCTACGAGCACAAAGGCACGAAGTTATGTAACTAAAGATTATTATAGGCGAGTAAGAACAACAAAAATTTCCTTCGGGTGTACGATATATCAAGCTCGCAACTTTACAAGAGCCAGAAGATCTCCCTAAGTACTACAATAAAAGACTAGCTGAGGAAATAAGGAAGAAGGTTTCCACCTAAGCATAGTGAGCTAAAAAGTAAATGATCTTGTAACAACAGTCTCACTACAATGTTGTGTACACTCCATAAGAAAGTGGCACCTATCGTGGCTAATGAATGGAAAAAAAAAGGGGATATTTGAGATCATATGAGGTACAGGAAATTACAGTATTCGTGGGCAAAAAGACAGGCCAAGTATTCATGCAACAAGTGATAGGACGACCAGCAAAAGTAATTTCTTACATTTAAGGACAACTGAGAAGGCACGAAAGGAAATTTATGGTGGTAGCAAGTTTAAGGAAGGTTGTGAGTAGTATAAATAGATCAGTGTAGGTCCTAAAGTAAAGTATTGTAGAGAAACAAGGTTTTAGGTAGATAGGAGTAAAGATGTGAAAAGGTGAGTGAGAAGGTGACGAGAATATGTATGTCCTTGGGATTAAACCCATCAAAACAAGAAAGCTGATGATTTCCATATGTAATAAAGAGCTCGGTACAGCCTGAATGAACACAAAGGAGTCTAAGACTAGGTGCAGATGGAATTCTGCCCTGGCAGTAGAATAAGGGTGTAATTGTGATTGATAAGAGGATGACGCTTAGGCCTTTGATTGAGTAATGATTTGACGAGAAAGGGATTTTATTAATTGCACGGGATTAGAATACCCCCATAAGATGAATCGCATTGGGATGCAATGAAATATGGTTATTGAAGTACAGTATTATCCCTAGGTGGATCAAGAAAATCACTTCAGATGTTCCTCGATAAGATGTGAGCCCTAGTGATAGTGTATTACGTAAGAGGTTACAAGTTATCAGTGATAGATTATATTTCAACATTAAGGTGAATAAACAATAGATGGGTACAAGTTCCAAAGTACAAGATGAGATTTGTTTGTTATTCTTAAGATGAATAATAATGAGGAAGCACTAAAGGACTTAGATATATACATATAGGATAAGCAGCGAAAGAGTAACCTGGAGTTGGGTAGCAAACCTCGGTAATAATAAACCGAAGTAAGTTTTATGGTATAGTATAACCTACCTAGATGTAGTAAATCCATAAGGATAGATATAAAAGGCTATGAAATTAGAAATAGCAATAGTCTTAAGTTCAATAAAGTACCAAGCGAAAGACATCAGTACACCTATAGATGCCTAGAGGGATAGCTTGTCATAATTCTGTATATGTTCATAAAGTGAGGCTTAGAGATTGGCTAAAAGATGGAGGAAAAAGGGAAGACGAGTCGCTAGGCACTCATACAATGACAGAGTCGTACATACTGCATGCCATAAGGTAGCAAATGTTACGATGTTGGAAAAAATTCCGACCACAGGTCGTGGTATGAGAAAGAAGCCTAAAGGTGGGAATACCTTGGCCTTTGGATTTATTTACAGAACAGTTTCCTAGATGTCAAGGACAATATTAAGGAATTCTTAAGAGCTACAGGTTATGAGACTGATAAGCGCATTAATCAACATTCGAGGACGAATGTTCCAAAGGGGGGAATGATGTTACACCCCGTATTTTCGTATGTAAGAGTACGTCATAAGTCAATTAATGTGAGCTCAGAAAGGGAATCATCTTTTAAAAGTTTACAAAGTTAGTTCATCATGTTAATGTGTAGGTTATAAATATTTAATATCATTAGTACCAAGTAGCAAGGGGTTTGAAGGCTTAGAAGCTAAACGAATTGAAGAAAATAAGTTTCGTTGAAAGTCGACAAGTTGGAATATTTTACCATGTACTTTTGGGGTGATACTAGGGTTATTAACATTATAAGGAGATTATATTATGAGTTATTTTAGTCGTACGATAGTTGGTGTTATGTTTTGTAGTCAAGCGAGTTGTGGAACAAAAGTTGGAAAAAGGTCATCACAAGTTCCATTTATAATATGCTGAAATTTAGGTCAAATGTAGATGCACTTTTCTCCCAATATACTTGGAATCAATGGATGATCTACATATCAAATTGAAGATCTACGAGTCTAGTTTCCAACGCATTAAACCGTTTGTCGATACAATATTGGAGTAGATAGATATTTGCATTTTCGCGAGACAGCGCAGACTGGTAGGTGACAAGTAGGTGCATCACCTACTTGCCAAAATGAGAGGACTTAATTAAAAGCCCCAAAGTCGGCCAAGAGGGGTCTTTTAAGGGAATAAAAACTGAGTTATTTCACCTGTATTTCAGACCAAGAAAACCTAATTGAACCCCTGCAACTCCTCCCCCAAAATCCCACACAAACCCTAGGGTATTCCGTGTGTTACGACGCGATTCTAGTGCTGAAAAGTCCGGACAGCATGCTAGTTTCTCTTTCTCCTTCTTGTATCCGTGTTGAGGAACTTATTTTTGATGAAAAAGGACCAGGTTTCGTGGGTGATACTCAGTACAAGGTAAGTTTATGCTTCTCCTTCCATTATCTGTGCGTTTGCGAGTTGTAACTCGATCGTAAAGAATAGACCTAGCTAGTTTCGGAAGAATGGTATGTTGTTTGATCTTGTGCAATGGTTGGCTGGTTGTGAACTTATTTTTAAGTTAAATTCATGGCTGGTTATTGTATAAGAGGTGTAATGATGTACTTTTGGTTGTATTTCTCAATTTGAAAGAAAAGACAAGTCGAAACGTGTTTAAGTAAACCGAAAAATTATNTATTCACCCGTTATGGATGCTATAACGTTCCGTTATCTCATTAGTTTTGCTGTCCATGAAAAGCTTGACATGCATTTAATGGATGTGGTTACCGCCTACCTTTATGGCTCACTTGATAATGAGATATACATGAAAATTCCCGATGGATTTAAAATGCCAAACGCACATAATTCAAAGTCCCGGGAAATGTTTTCAATCAAATTGCAAAGATCTTTGTATGGTCTAAAGCAATCAGGACGAATGTGGTATAATCGTCTTAGTGAGTATTTATTAAAGGAAGGCTATATAAATGATGCCATTTGCCCATGTGTTTTTATAAAGAAAACAACATCGGAATTTGTTGTACTTGCCGTATATGTTGATGACATAAACCTTATTGGAACTCCTATAGAACTCCAAAAGGCAATTGATTATTTAAAGAAGGAATTCGAGATGAAAGATCTCGGAAAGACAAAATTATGTCTTGGTTTGCAAATTGAACATTTGGCAAACGAAATTTTTGTTCATCAATCTGCCTACATAGAAAAGGTATTGAAACGGTTTTACATGGATGGAGCACATCCATTAAGTACTCCGATGGTTGTCCGATCACTTGATGTGAATAAGGATCCATTCCGACCTCAAGAAGAGAATGAAGAGCTACTTGGTCCTGAAGTACATATCTTAGTGCAATTGGTGCACTAATGTATCTTGCCAATACTACAAGGCCTGACATAACTTTTTCAGTTAATGTCTTAGCAAGATATAGCTCTGCTCCCACAAGGAGACATTGGAATGGAATCAAACACATATTGCGGTATCTAAAAGGAACTACCGATATGGGCTTATTTTATGGCAATAATTGCAGTCCTGATCTTGTTGGTTATGCCGATGCTGGGTATTTATCCGATCCACACAAGGCTCAATCTCAAACAGGTTATGTGTTTACCTGTGGAGGCACTGCCATATCTTGGCGATCGACTAAGCAATCAATTGTGGCTACTTCATCTAATCATGCTGAGATAATTGCTATTCATGAAGCAAGTCGAGAATGTGTGTGGTTGAGGTCTATAATACATCTTATTCGAGACAAATGTGGTGTGAAATGTCACAGACTACCCACGATTTTGTATGAAGATAATGCAGCATGCATAGCTCAATTGAAGGGAGGATTCATAAAAGGAGATAGTACAAAGCACATTTCACCAAAGTTATTTTTCACACATGATCTTCAAAAGAATGGTAATATCAATGTGCAACAAATTCGTTCAAGTGATAATATGGTTGATTTGTTCACAAAATCTCTACCAACGTTAACCTTCAAGAAGCTAGTGTACAAGATTGGGATGCGAACACTCAAAGATGTGAATTGATGCTCTCATCAGGGGGAGTTAATGCGCGTTGCACTCTTTTTCCCTTACAAGGTTTTTGTTACACCCCGTGTTTTCGTATGTAAGAGTACATCATAAGTCAATTAATGTGAGCTCAGAAAGGGAATCATCTTTTAAAAGTTTACAAAGTTAGTTCATCATGTTAATGTGTAGGTTATAAATATTTAAGATCATTAGTACCAAGTAGCAAGAGGGTTTGAAGGCTTAGAAGCTAAACGAATTGAAGAAAATAAGTTTCGTCGAAAGTCGACAAGTTGGAATATTTTACCATGTACTTTTGGGGTGATACTAGGGTTATTAACATTATAAGGAGATTATATTATGAGTTATTTTAGTCGTACAATAGTTGGTGTTATGTTTTGAAGTCAAGCGAGTTGTGGAACAAAAGTTGGAAAAAGGTCATCACAAGTTCCATTCATAAATGTGCTGAAAATTAGGTCAAATGTAACTGAGTTTTTCTCCCAATATACATGGAATTAGGGGATGATCTACATATCAAATTAAATATCTATGAGTCTAGTTTCCAACGCATTAAACCGTTCATCAATACGACATTGGAGTAGAGAGATATAGGCATTTTTGCGAGACTGCACAAGCTGCTAGGTGACAAGTAGGTGTGTCACCTACTTGGTTAAATGATAGCCCAAAAATAGGAAATTTCGGGTCGGCCAAAAAGCCCATTTAAAGGGTTATCTCCTGCAATATAACCCTCATTATATATCACAAATAACCAGACCTAAACCCCTGCAAACTTCCTCCCAAAAATTATCCACAAACCCTAATCGATTTTCCCTCTCTTTCAAGTTTTAATTGGGGGTAAAACCTAGAGTTTGAAGAACCAAGGGAAGGGCTGAGTTATCCAACAAGTAAGGTGAGTTTACTGCTCTTTTTCATACATTTATTCTTCTGTGAATTCATGGTAATTCGTTCTATACATGTAAGAACTCACGGGACGGTGATCGGAAGCCGTGAGTTTGAGTTATTCACTTGTAGCGGACTGTTTTGTGGACTGTTTTGTGTTGCTGTTGGGATACATGTTTTACTACTGTTTTGTGGAGTTTTGGAGGAGTAAGGATATGGAAAAACACCATATAGATGTAGGGTTGTGGGCTGGTAGTTCTTCGTAATATTTCCGGGTCGTTTGACACGACTACGGTGGCCGTCGTATGTATGAAGTGATTAGGTTGTGCGTGGACTGTTTTGGGAGGCTCAATATGATTATTATTGATGTTGTTTGGGCTGTGTGGTGATTGTTTGGAATTGTGTGAAGTCGTATATATAGGGGAGGTGCTGTCCGTTTCATCGTAAAACAGGTTGTGGTCGATACATAATAGTTATGACGCTTGAATGATAACTACAGTATCGTTTCTCTTATTGTAGACTAAGGAGTCGTGAAAATTGCATAGCTTGAGATTGGGGCAGTATATACAAGGTATGTTAAGGCTCTTACTTCTTTCTTTTGGCATGATCTAAAGTGACATGAACATAAATGGTATGCTAATTCATAACGGATCTACTCCTAGAAACTAAGGTGTCCATGTTGTTCTTTCGATTTGCCTTTATTGGAAAAACTCCTTTGCACCCTTGCAGGGGTGTAGTGAAAAAGGAGGTGTGACAGTAACGACCTTACGTCACTCCAAAAGGTTTAGAACGTGACTCCATGAGTCCAGCATGCATTATATATGTATCTATTTTACTCTACCGAGCCGCGCTATAGTCGGCCGGGTATGGCACCTATTGTGCAACCACTGATCAGTTGGGTTTACCGAGCTCCACGTGGCCGGGTACGTTTTTACCGAGTCCTCTTTGAGGCCGGGTATGATATGATGATGATGATGCCCACAGAGGCGTATGTTTTTAAAAGTTTATGTATATATATGTATTATGCATTTCATGTCAGTAGCCCCCAGAGGCACTCAGATGTTACAAGTTGTATCTCCTCTATCTCTCTTTACATTACTGTTCTTATTTATGCTTTCCTGCCTTACATACTCGGTACTTTATTCGTACTGACGTCCCTTTTTCCTGGGGACGCTGCGTTTCATGCCCGTAGGTCCCGATAGACAGGTTGACATTCCTCCTAGTAGGCTATCAGCTCAGCGAAGGTATTGGTGTACTCCACTTGCTCCGGAGTTGCCTATTTGGTCAGTATGCTTTGGATATGTATTGATTGGTATGGCGGGGCCCTGTCCCGACCTTTATGATTTTATGTACTCTTAGAGGCTTATAGACAGATGTCAGGTGTATGGATACTTGTATGGCCTTGTCGGCCTATGTTTTGAGTTTACAAATGGTCATGTCGGCCTTATAGGCCCGTATGTCACATGTATAAGTTTGTATATCATGCTGGGTCATCATACGTTAAGTATTCCCTTATGTTTTATTCTTGTTATCTCATGAAGGGTTTTCTAGCTCATTTACCCATGATAGTAGGATAAGAAAGATATGTTACGTTGGTACTCGGTTGAGTAAGGCACCGGGTGCCCGCGCGGCCCTTCGGTTTGGGTCGTGACAGTTTTGTCCCACTGGGTTTTCCTTGCAAGGTTTTTAACGAGGCAACCAATAGGCGCATTTCTAAACATGTGTACTCTTTTTTCTTTTTTAGAATTTCTTCCCATTGTGTTTAATTTTAGTTAAGGTTTTAACGAGGCACATTATCTGTTGAATAGACATTCAAGGGGGAGTGTTATAAATAGAATTGTATTTATGGTGAATGTCTATATTTAGAGAGATTCTAGGGTTTATTACTTGGTGGCTAAGTCACTCTCTCCCTATAAATAGAGGGTTCTATTCCAATGTAATTCATCCCAAAATTCAATAAGAATTTCCTCTCTCTTTCTCTACAATATTGCTCTTGTTCTTTTATTGTTTTATAACAATTTTGGTATAAACTCTGAGTGAGAGTAAATTTTTTCTAATAACAATTAGCCATGTTCATAGTACCATAAGAGCTAATTTTACACCTGCAAAGACGCCTTGGCCAAATATCACATCGGCAAAACAGGAAGACATGCTGGGTATTTAAGGTAATTGGTTGTACTCACTTGATATGATTTAGAAACATCTCTACCACCACTTAACCTAGCTCGCCTATAATGTTGAGTTAGGTCTAAGACACTTTCATAACATAAGAGTACCGGAAGACATAAACTTGAGTTCAAGTCTCACCGTCGTCCATGATTAAAAAAAAAAAATTCACATGTTTAGCCTAATACAACTTTATATTGAGACACTGTTGGGTATTCCTTTGCCAGTAAGTCCTGGTTCACTTGTAGGATAGAGCAATGTATATGGCATCTTAACAGGCCCCATCCTGTTCTTCAATTTCTTGTCATTGTTCATCTTCATAATTTTTTCCTCAATTTCAGCCAGCTTTTTGCCGAATCTTTCTAAAGCTTGTATTGGTTCTTTATCCTTAGTCCACTCAGGACTGTCTCTCTGGCCAAGGTAAATTTCATCTGAAGAATGTATCGACAAAATCTCAATAGTAGAAATTCCAATTAGAGTCTGTAGTTGGGGTGTTATTGTCCTCAGATATCCTTTTTCAGGGTTGGTCTTCAGCTCTTCATACTCGGGACTGCCTGGCTCAGGCATGAACCTTCGGCTCATTGAAGGGCGATTTGGTAGGTAGCCACCATAAGGATACTGCCCAAAATTGATTGCTGCATGAAGAGCAGAAGCAATCCAGATAATTATAGTGCATGAGTCAATCAGCTCTTTGAGTGTCTGCATTTTAGGCCACCATGGCTCAGATTTCTTGTCACCGTGTCCATCTTCTCGGACTTCCTTCCACCAGGCTTGAAGTTCAGTGTCTTTCTGAATCATGTCATCTGTTTTGTAATAGAAGCTGCAATACTCCTGAACCCAATTTTTGATTGCTGACCATATTTCTAGCCCGTCCACAGCATATGGATAGTCCTCGATTAGTAGGCGGACACCTTGTTCCGATTCAGGATCCTCAATTGCCACACCTCTACAACATAATAAGAAGAAAAAGTATTTCATGAGTATTTATTTCAATGTAAATTTTTTGAATCCTCTAAGTGAATTCCAGGATTAAATAGTAAATTGCCTCTTGATAAGATCAACAGGAAGGGCTTGATCAGGAAAAGTCCAATCCTTGTAAGCTACTGATGTCATCTCCATAGCATATTTTGTAGGGAAAACTGTTTGCTCAAGAATTCCTCCGGCATTAAGTAGAGTCTGTCTAGCCAAGGCATTTATGTGCATTGTATCACGGAAGTGAGGATGCAAAAGCTTATAGATAGGATGAAGCACACTTAGCTGCCTGTTTGTCGCGATCACAAATGGCTCAATTGCAGCATGAGTGTGTAACCTGAGAAAAAAACAGATATATAGTAAAAGAGTTTCTTGATAACAAAACAAACTAAATTGATGATCATTGCCATGTAAAGGCCTTTTGCGAGTTTAAGCACCAGTGGCTGATTAGCTGATGAACTCCAGAGTCATTGACTGCGACATAAGCTTTAGCCAATTGCCAAATGGAAGCCTCAATGCCATCTTCATGTGGTGTAAAAACTTCGCTTATGGCACCAAGTTGATCTCCATCTGGATGAGGCAAGCTTAGTTCAATGGCTAGTGGCTTCAAAGTCCCATCTTTCCGTAGAAAGAGGATTGTTCTTGAGGCATAAATTTTTGTACTTGTCATATTGATCTGCCTCACATATGGCATAATTGTGTCATGATGATCTAATATGATAAGCTGATTCGCCTTGATCGCCTAGTAAGGTACAAATTTATCAGATACAGGTCCAATTTAGTTAAAAACACCTATATCAGAAGCATTATAAAATCAACTCATAAAACCTCTTCTATAGTGAGTCCATCTAACTGATTTTGTATTTGTTCTCTGGTTATTTTGCAAGTTTGGTCACCATAGACTTTTTGGTCCAGCTTACTAGTCGGAGGGAACTCCTGCAGAAAAAGAGTTTCAGCTCATAATTTTTCAACTAAAATGAAAAATAAATAACTGCAGATTCCTCCATAGTGACGAGAGATAGAGATAATGAGAAGTTCGTTTAAAAGTTAGTACCTAAGGTTACTTATGCTTTGTTCCTTTTTCCTTGCTTTGCACATAGACACGACAGAAATAGTAGATGGAAAAGTGAGTTTTAGATTACCTTAAGGGCACAAATGCAGACAGGGTTTATTCCAGCCAACATCTCCCTTGCAAATTCTTCATCTGTCCGCCAAGCTGACTTATCCTCTGTTGCAACAATGTAAGACTTTGAGAAAGCACAAAGCAACAACAACAACAACAACAACAACAACAACAACCCAGTGTAATCCCACAAGTGGGGTCTGGGGAAGGTAGTATGATCGCAGCCTTAAAAAGAAAGATTCCCACAAAGGGGATTGACTTACTGTTACTCTTTTATCCAAAAGTACCTTTAATAACCTGTGGCATTGGATACTTAAGAAACCCCTGACCAGCACTTTGAATAAATTCCTTGAGCATATGTGTAGTACTTCTCTGCAAAAGATCATTTGGAAGATCGATTCCTTCTTCATAGATTTTTAATATCTCTTCAAAGCTGTTGAACTCATTGAGGCTGATGTTTGCTAAAGACTTGAGCTCAGGGACAAGGAGCTGAACGATGACCTTAAGTGCTATACCGACAAAATCTGTCATCTTTAAGGGTGCAAATTTCTCATCCCTTGGAACATAAATACCAAAGCTCATTATCAGTGGCAGCCGGCTCTCAGAATTAGGATCTGTGCACCAAAGTTGAGGAAATCATAAATACTGAAAACTGTTACTACCTTTTTTCTACAAAACAATCAGAAATGGCTCGTAGTAAAGATGATTTTGATGCAGAAAATGAGAGAACCTGTCTTTGTTGGTGGTCTTCCTGTTCTTCCTCTACGCGGATAAGGATACTTTTCAGATCCTCCTAGGATTGGCCTAACATAATCCGAACCCTTTTCTGGATCTCCAAGGTCATTGTAATAAGCATAGTCATAAACTCTATCCCACTCCTCAAGCTTACCAGTTCCATTTCCTCTCAAGTTCAGCAACTCTTCTTCCCTGTACCAACGTAACGGTGCTGGAGTTTCACTTGGAAGCCAAGCCTGCATCAAGTAAACAAAGTTCTTTTAGTATAGTTTAAAGTTTAAACCACTAACAACAGCCTAGTGGCTCTTCTCCTTTTCTTTTTGGTAAAATTCAATGTTTCTCATGTTATACTTTACCTGATTGACAAAGAAAACTCGGTCTGATTTGTACTTTTCAGCTGGATAAACCCAAGAATTGCAGACAAAATGCATACTTCCGTGACTTGGATCATCAACTTCAAGAGTCAGTTTCTTGAGAAAGAACTCGCTAGGATTAAAGTTCTTGATAATGAATGCTCCTGGAGCTCCAACTTCTTCATCCCATTCAAATGTGACATTAAACTTTGATTCATTGCCTGAGTTATTCTCATCTCTCAAGTATGTAGGGTTCCCAAGTTTACCTTTCATTTCTTTCCCTTCAAAAATAAAATTATCAACTTTAAATCACATTATTCAAGAAAAACTCATATATCAACTTAATTAGACCAGTGGTACATATCAACAAGTATGCCCTGGTTCCATGCAAGTTATAGTCGACTATGCGAATCCTCACTGACCATGTTGCTCCATTTAAGCTCATCTCAAACCAATATATATATATATATATATATATATATATATATATATATATATAAAACGTACTAGAAGTTCACTATATTTTCGAATGGCAAAAAGATAACTACAATGAAGCATAAAATGTGAAATTTTATTGAAAAAGGAAATCACCTGAGTCTCCAGTAAAAGAACTGATAAGCTGCAGGGTGACCTTATGCCCAAGAATCTCATAAACAGCTTGCTGTTGAACAACTTCAGGTGGAACAATGTCTAAAGGTCTCTTTTTAATCAGTACAACAGTGCCATTGATTTTTTTATTTTCAAGTTTACTAATTGACGCCATTAACTCTTTGAGTCTTTGTGTATGAAGTGAATAACAAAACAATCAGCAAAAGATGACTACTAAGGATCTTTTGTGTTGTTTAGGCCAAATGAAAGAAACTATGTATTTATAGGCAAAGGACACGGTTGTGTTATGATCAAGACACTTCATTTATTTTTTATATTATAGAAAATGTTAGTGAAACATATTACACTTTCAAATGGAATTTTAATTTTATAACTATAGCGCTGGGGTGGTCAATTAAATTTCTAAAGATTCTTGAAAGCTTCCTGATTACTTAGTAACTATGTAATAACCATGTCATGTTGGTGTTAGTAGCTAGTTTGTGCGTATCTCGACTATTCGTGTTTTAGAACCCAATTCGGGGTTCCGAGGTCTTCAAAACCTTATTTTCCTTCTCTTCGATTTACATGCGCAGTCCGGGCGCGATTCCGGAAAGCCTTTATGTGAAAATTTGAGAAAATATTAAGTTTTGCCTTTAAAATTGATTTAAGTTGATTTCGGTCAACATTTTGAGTAAACGGACCCGGACTCATGATTTGACGGTTCCGGAGGGTCCGTAGAAAAATACGGGACTTGGGCGTATGCCCGAAATTGAATTCCGAGGTCCCTTGTCCGAAAAATGAATTTTTGAAGAAAATTGTTAAACTGAAAATATAATGGTTTTTAGAAATTTAATAATGCTTGATCTTGTTGGTATCGGGCCCGTATTTTGGTTCCGAAGCCCGGTACAGGTGTAATATGGTATTTAAGTCATGTCTGTGAAATTTGGTAAGAAACGGAGTTTATATGACGTGATTCGGACCCTCGGTCGTAAAAAAATAAAAGTTTAAGTGTTCTTGAGAATTTCACTGATTTTGATGCTAAATTCGTTGTTTAAGATGTTATTTTGGCGATCTGATCACATGAGCAAGTCCGTATGATGTTTTTAGACTTGGGTGCATGTTTGGTTTGGAGCCTCGAGGGCTCGGGTGAGTTTCGGATAGGCCACGGGGTGTTTTGGACTTAGAAATTTCTGCTGTTTTGCTGTTGCAGGTGCACAGATGTGTCCTTCTTCGCGTTCGCGAAGGATCACCCACGAACGCGAAGAGTAATTCGGTCTGAAGGAGAAATCCTTCTACACGAACGCGAGACACTAGTCGCGAAAGCGAAGCGTTGGGAGCATTACCCTTCGCGAACCAGGCTATCGCGAACGCGATGAATGGAAACTGGGGGAGGGGAATGCTAAACTACGCGAACGCGGCAAGCGGCTCGCGAACGCGAATGTTAGGGTGGATATACATTCGCGAACGCGTAGTGTTTCTCGTGAACGCGAAGGTTAATAGGATCGGTGCTTCGCGAACGCGAAGAAGATCTGTCCAATGATTTTAAAACAGAATCTAAGTCGGGATTTGCTCAAAATTTCATATTTTCTTCCATAGAACTCAATCTTGGGCGATTTTTGAAGAGAGATTTCAACACCAAATTATAGGTTTGTGTTCTTAAACTCATTTCTTTCAATTTCCATCAACACCCATTATATTTTTAGGCCTAAATCTTGTTCTTTAAGGGTAGAAATTAGGGATTTTGGGAGAATTGGGAATTTTACCAATTTGGGAATTTAGACCTCGATTTGGGGTCGGATTCTGAAACTAATTACATATTTAGTTTTCTGGGTGAATGGGTAATCGGGTTTTGGTTCTAACCTTGAGTTTTGATCAAGCGGGCCCGGGGTCGAAATTTTGGGAAATCTATAATTGTGCATTAAAATTGGTTTCTTTGGCTTTAATTGATGTTAATAAGTTAATTATGAATAGATTCGGGTGGATTGGAAGTGGAAACTAAGGGAAAAACGGATTTTGAGGCTTGAGTTTGGCTGTGGAATCGAGGTAAGTGTTGTGGCTAACCTTAGCTTGAGGGATTAGGTATTGTTGCCTTATTTGCTATATGTTTATTGTTAAGTACGACGTATAGGTGAGGTGACGAGTATCTATACGTTGTTGTCGGATCGTAGCATGTGAGTTAGTCTTATACTTGTGGCTGTTATGATCCTTTATTCGTACTATTCTTGCTTAAACTGGTGATCATCCATGTTAAACAAGTCTTATCATGTTTTTCCTGGCTTTTGGATATTGATTGAGTATTGGCTCAAGTTGAGATTCGTGTTGTGAAGTTAAGTGATGAAACAAGTTGTTTAATTATGATGCCCTTGCCGGATTGTTATTGTTTCTGCTGATTGTTTATGTGGTGAGGAAGAGTGATAAACCACGAAGGGTGATGCCGTGCATATTTCTATTCTTCATATGGTGAGTTTGAGTGTTAAAGAACGAATGGTGATGTCGTGCACGTATCCATTATTGATTATCTGGTGAGGCTGAGTGGTAAAGCACGAAGGGTGATGCCGTGCACGTTTCTATTATTGATTACCTGTGAGGTTGAGAGTAAAAGCACGAAGGGTGATGCCGTGCATTATTTTCTGTTGGTGTGTTTATTTGTTACTATCGGTCCAAGGTGTTTTAGCTGTTAAATTCCTTTACTGCTGTGATTCTTTATTCCGTTACCCCCATAGCATGTTCCCCCTTCCCGTTCATTTCTACTTAGCTTTTATTAATTGTTATTCTGTTAGTATATTGTTTAACTGCACAGGTTTATATTATTGTCGTGTCCTAGCCTCGTCACTACTTCGCCGAGGTTAGGCTCGGCACTTACCAGTACATGGGGTCGGTTGTACTGATACTGCACTCTACACTTTCTGTGCAGATCCCGGTTCAGGACCATACTTATCAGAGTTTGGGTGATTACCATCAGTCCAGGGGAGACCCAAGGTAGATTTGCCGGCGTCCGCAGACCCTGGAGTCCCCTTCCCTCTATTTAGATTCCTGTTTTCATTTATTCCGAAAAACAGATGTACTTTCTTTGAAACTAGTGTTTGTAGAAATTTTTAGACGTTCGTGGATTGTGATACCAGATTTTGGGGTAGCCTTGTATTAGCGTATTTAATCTGTTATAAAATTTTCGCATTTTATATCTGTTTAGCTTCAAATTATTATTTATTACTGCTTGGTTATTGATTAATGTGGTAGAACCGTAATTGTTGGCTTGCCTAGCATTGTCAGCGTTAGACGCCATCACGATCCCGACGCTGGAAAATCCGGGTCGTGACATCTATCTCCTACTAGCACAATTGCACAAACACCGAATAACTCTATCTACTAAGGACTAGACTGATAGAAAAAATCACCGTTTTGGGTCTTTGCTAGAATGTGAACCCCGATTTTTCATGATTTTCACTGACTTCATTGACCGCTTAGGCCACACTCGTGAACCTAGCGCCTTGCATATTTTCATCTATAAGTACTTTTTTTGCGCGTACGACGTAGCAATGACAAACGTTGTTTCTTCAAAAGAGAAAGACTCTGAAATCCTTAGTTAGTAGAAGGTTTTGTCCCATAAAAGCAAGGAAAATAAATGCCAAAAAAATACAGTCAAAATCCCATTTGCAACAAGTAGGTACTCTTTGTGGTAGTTGCAACTCCTCACTGAACTTGTCTACTAGCTCTCTAGATGGGTGAGATTACATTCTTCAAATGAAATTTTCTACTTTAATTGTGTATAAGGAATTTTAGAAAGTTAGAAACATTGGATAGAATTCCTTCTTAAAATACCTTTTTTCCATTAAAAAGATTATGCTACTAAATAGAGTTAGCATCACCACTTTCCAAGAACCCAAAAGTATGAAAACTTGTCTCTCTTTTAGCTATCATAGCCAACTTTTAACTTGAAAATAAATCCTTCAAGTGTTTAGAAAGTGCAACTTTTTATAAACTTTCCCTTATGATCGATGGAATTATAAAATTTTATCTAACCAATCAAGACAATGAAAATAAACTAGCACTTCAATAAGGGGAAGGGGAGTGTATTGGGAAAAATTATATTTATGTATATGGTGATGTGTCATGACGTATAGACTGGTCAAACAGTCAAAGAAATAAGGTTGGTTAACAGATACGAGCAACAACAGATACAAGCAACAACAGATATGAGTAAATTAAATGGAGGGGGTGCGAGCAGTCATACAAATAATTCAACGCTCATACCTGTTCAAGACATTTGAAACTCAAAGATAGTAAAGAATCAAAGGAATGAATCTAACAGCAAAAAGGAGCCCAGATACAACATTTAATGAGTATTAATTATTGGAAACGTTAGAGAATATGTATTTAATGTATATGATTGCATAACGTAACATTTAAAGTCATTAATTGCCCATAATAGCATTATTATGACAAAGGTAAGGCTCGTATCCCAAAAGAGCTATAAAAGGGGAAGAAACAAACAATTGTAGGAGGAGGTGACTATTGGAATATACTTTGATTTACCAGCTTTCATACTTGGTTACTCTAAAATTTCTTTCTTTATTTACTTTTTCGATTATCAGTAACCCGATTCTTCTAAATTCTAGTTTTGACTAAAATCCTAATTTTTTGTTAAACAAATTGGTTCCGTTATCACAAGCAAAAGGACAGGTAAAATTTTTACTAGTACTTACTGATTACTTCACTAAATGGGTAGAGGCAGGAGCATTCAAACAGGTACGAGAAAAAGAGGTCAAAGACTTCATTTGGCGTAATATCATCTGCCGATTTGGTGTACCAAAGGAGATTGTATGCGACAATGACCCTCAATTTATCGGAGCCCAAGTCACTGAGTTTTTTGAGAGCTGGCAAATTAAGAGAATCACATCTACACCTTATCACCCAGTAGGCAATGGGCAAGCAGAATCAACGAACAAAGTCATAATCAACAATTTGAAGAAACGTTTAGAGGAATAAAAGGGTAATTGGCTTGAAGTGTTACCCGGAGTTTTATGGGTATATCGCACGACAACAAAGACGAGCACATGTGAAACTCCTTTCTCTTTAGTTTATGGAGCTGACACATTAATCCCAGTTGAAATAGGAGAACCGAGTACAAGATTCTCACAAGCAACACAAGAGTCTAATGATGAAGAGATGCGGGTCAATTTGGATCTACTGGAAGGCAAGAGAGAAGCCACATTAATAAGAATGGCAGCACAAAAGCAGGTGATCGAA